CACACGCCTGAATGCGAAATGCTGGACCTTTTTGGGGCGGAGATACAGGAGTTGGACGCCGGGGCGAGGGCCATATCAGCGAAATGATCGCAATCTCAACACAAAATTTGTGTTTGGTGTAGACATTTTTTTACTGTGCCGAGGGACCCGCTAAGATAACCAAAAGATGATGAAGATGAAGCAGCAGCAAATCTGCAAAAAGCTTGGGGAATGTGTGACCCCCCCGCCAGCGCCTGTCTGGCAGGGTTTTGCGCCAGGTTCTTGGGCGCACTGAAAAAAATCTACTAGGAAAACGTTTTAATAAATTCGGCATAAAAACATATGTTTTCACATTTTATCTGGTATGGACCGAATTTATTTCGGTATTTTTCCGCTTACAGTATGAAACTTTTTTTTTTACACTTACACACGGTTGGCTTGGAAACCAACCCATCAAAACCATAGGTGTCACAGAATCTGCAAAATTTTCTATGAGTTTCGGAATAATTTTGCTTGATTTTAGAAACAGTTGGTTTAAAATCGTTAACTCGATTTTCAAACGGTTTCTGTGACACCGAGAGTTGTTTTTTTGGGGAAATTTGGTTGGAAGAGATTTCTATGCATGTATTTAAAAATTATCGAAAAATACTGCGTAACAGGCCTTGCAATTAGCTTAAAATTTTTCATAAAAATTTCTAATTTAAATATTCGAAATTAAATATTTTTTTTCCACAAATATATTTTTAAATTGATCAAAAATGATAAAGAAGTGATTTTGAAAATATTAATTAGGATTTATTTATTCCGGAGCCCATGATACTTTTTTTCAGTGTAGGCTCTGGGCTTTCAGTCCTCGTCCAACGTCGTGTTGTCATAATGAATGGTGCAGCTTAAGTCATTTCATTTTGGAGCTGGACTCCAGGCTGCTGCGTTTTTTATAGTGCTGCTGGCGCCATGAAATATTAAATTACGAGCTGCTGTTTGCGATCACCCGCGTCCCTTGGCCCCGCCTCCGCCCCCACTCACCTCTCCTCATTAGGCGCAGAGACATTCCGCATACGCCGTGTGTGTTTGGCTTCGTACGCGAATGAAATTAATAACTAAAACGTTGCAGCCCATAAAAAAGGGCAGGCGAAATCGATCCACGAATCGGCAAAATTGAAATTCCAACTTTCAGAATTAATAAGTTAATTTCTGCAAACGCCCCTTGATGTCCAATCCATCTGCACGTTTGGCTATATGGCTATGTTTTGCATAATTACACCCAGCTCTTCCTCAGTTTACGACTTTGGCTAATTTGCCAGGTATCCGAGGGGCGGAGGGGGTGCAGAGGGCTTTTATGATGCGGCCTGCCATTAAAAAGGTTAAAGTTGAGGCTCAGTCGCTTAATGACTATCCTGGGGCCACTTGGGCATATGGGGCCGGGCCACTTGGGGCGCATGTTAATTGCTCGGACATTTATGGCAATGGGTTGACACATGTTTGCGGGCGTCTTTATGAAGGTTGATGGGGTGAAGAGTTTATAGGAAATCTTAGATGGATTATATGGGATGCATAAAAATGACATAGGCAATTTATATTTTCCTAATTTTACACAAATTGTGTTTTTTAGTAACACTCTTGACTACTTAGCAAGTAGGAATATATCGAGTGCCTCGACTATCGGATACCTGTTATTTAGCTAATGGGAGGGCTTTTGAAATACTAAAAATGCTAAGTAAGTCTTCTTAAAATAAAGATTTATTGAATTTGATTATAAGTTCCAATAAATTTATTATAACTTTTCTAGCCTTATAGTGTGCTTAGACTAATTCAATTATTGTCGAATATTAAAAAATAAACAGAGGCGTTCACATTACAGATGCAGAATTCTGACAATAAAATCAATAATTGCCAATGTGTTAATTTATTTATAAAAATTATTTTATGACAAAAATGTTTTCAAATAGGAAAAATCTAAACATTATTCTTTTCGTCGCATGTCAATGAAACTATGTCTAAACACACAATAACTTTCCAACATATCTCTTTCATATTAGTTCCAATTTATTATGGGATCCTTCATCGTTGGCCATAAAAAGGTATCAAAGCCTTTCGCCACCTGCAATTGCAACCATTTCGAAAGGAACTTTGACTCACATGGCCAGTAAATTTGGTCGAAATCAAATAACTATAAAAAATCACACGAATATTAATTCGCGGAACTGCAAAGACCTTCAGCCGAAAGGCGGTTGAGACCCAAAGGCAGAGCTGTTTATGAAATTTATAGTTGCGGTCTAGGAGAATAGACCGCAATCACTGAGTCCCAGTTTTAGTTCAGGTCGGGTTCGAGGTTCTCCTCGCCATTCCACAGCTGGTCGTGTGAGAATGTTCGGGGCACATGTGCCCAGTCCTTATCCTCATCCTCATCCCCGACCCCATCCTCTTCTTCGTCCTGGTCCAGGCCTCAACCCCGGGTTCAACTGCAAAAAATACATTTAAAAGAATCCAATCCAACTACTGGCCAAGTCCGAAGATCGCCTCTAATGCCAATGCAAAGCTGGAGCAGTGCTGCCATCACTCAGCTTGAAAAACAGGACAGATAAGCCAAAAAAAACAGGGAAAAAAAGGACAAAAATTTTTTAAAAAGGACAAAAAAAGGGACAAAAGTAAATGCGCCTCCATTTTTCTGTTTTACCAATGGGTTATATAATTACTTAATTTAAATGGATTTTATATTAAATTCAATTATGTAATGACCTACTGCGCCCGACTCACATCCTTCTTTGTTTGATCATTTTACCATGGTTAATTTTTGTGCGTATACGTAATAATCTAAAATTATTAAAATAATAAAAGCATTTCAAGTAACTATATTGGTAATACAAAAAAATGCAATATCTGCGTCAAACCCGAATAAGAGTCGTGAAAAAATCTGAAAATTTTTTCTGACAAAAAAGCAGAGAGTAAAAATTGAGAAATTTTTAAAGTGTTTTCCTCTTTTTTTGCTACAGAAAAAATCGTACTATATAGAAAATCCATCGACTGCTTTACGTCTCTTTGATCATTTGTAAAAATAATTATTTTTTAAGTGCCGAACTGTAAGATTGATGGTTTAAAAGGCGTTTTAGCATATAAAAACAGGTTTACACACTTTCGACTGGCAAAAATAACACTCAAAACCTTATTTTTGAAAAAAGGACAGATTTCCGGATAGGGGATGTTTGAAATTTTTTCCGGATAAACCCGTTAAAAAAAGGACAGATCTGTCCGGAAAGAGGACAAAATGGCAGCACTGAGCTGGAGTCTTTGTTTCTGGCCTCCCCGCTTTTATGCGATCAATTTCCATGGAAGTGGGAGCTTAAGCTCGACGATGAAAATATTTATATGTATAAGTATTTGAGCGCAGACTTATCGCCAAACAAGATCAATAAGCACGATATCAATAAGCTCTGGTGTTGTTTCAGGCCGAGTAACAAGAACAGCACTGGACGAGCAACTGGCGTAGATCCATTCTGATGATCAAGGGGGTAGGTTGGAATAAATAAGAAGGGAAAGGTTAGTTGGGGGAGTACATTCTGGCGGGTATATAATTTTAACTGCCTTTAATAGTCCCTGTGAAAGTTGTTCAGTATAAAATAACCTAACAATAAACTTTTGAAAAAATACAATTTTAATTAGGTAAATAAAAAGTAACTGTTCTCAACACTAGATTTTTAAATAATGATTTCCGTGTTATAGACAATTTAATGGAAAAGTACTAAAAATGAGCTATTAATTAGGTTGGGAAACATCAATGGTGGGCATAATAGAAAATCGTAGAAAACGAACCAAAAAATTACATAAAAAGAAAAAAATAACTAAATATTTAATTGAAAATAAATGCTTTGTTTTAAATTTCATAAACGGGAAAATGTGAGTCAGAAGATTCTTTTGGATGTAGAATAATTGGCAAAAAATGCGTACGATAAAAAATGACCTCTAGATTTGTCAAAATCTGTCTCGCCTGTCATTATCATTAGGCGTACAAGACATCGAATTATTATAATTTCAGCGAGATTTCGCGGAACGAAGGAAAGCGGGAAATTATGCCATGAAATGAGCCCAACGTCGACCGATGCCCGATGAGGGGATAGGATAGGATTGGACTGGTTCGGTTTCTGAGCCGCAGCCAGTTTGTGTTTGTGTTTACTTGTGCTGTTTGTTTACCCTTGTGGCATTTGCATATTTTGAATGTTCGCGGGCGACTCGTGGCACGTTTTACAGAAAACCGCGGGGAAAAACGAGCCGAAAAACTTTATCGATGATTGTGTGGGCGAGTCATGCGGCCCAGTCTCTTGACGACCTTTTCATAGTTCTCCATGTCTTTTGTTGTTCGTTCTGCGGTCGTTGTTGTCAAACAATTGTCACAACGTGTCGGCATTCACACGAACTTTATGTTTTATCCAACACCTCGGCGCAAATCTCTCAAGGGTTAAAGTTTGCGTATAGCTCGAAGTCTTCCCAAGGATTCGGGGAAGTGGGTGAGCGGTGAGCGACGAGCAGCTATAGTATGGGGCCGATCAGTGATCCATTGCCCTACCGCATTGCACTCGTTCATCAATAACCGCCTGCGGCGGTGTTCCATCAAAAGTCGCCAGAGATTGTACAAAAACCAACACTCCGGCTGAAGGGTCCTTCAATTCTTGGCTAATAATGAGCGGAACCTCAGCGGTCCCATTGTTCTGGCTCCTCTCCATCTCCTCCCAAATATGTATTCATTATATTTATGGCACAATTTTGCTTTCAAAAGGAGGGGAACAAAGGGGAACACTTGTGCCCCGGGCCCGACTGACAAGCGGAATATCTTTTTTCTCGCGATCGGTCCGAGGATCCAGCGAACAACCAAACAATCGAACGATCGATGGATTGGTTCCTCCGCTGAATAGATCACTCAGGCGCAATGAATTATTGATGGACCGATCGTCGAAAGGGTAGGAAAATCACACACAAAAACGCATATCTGCAGCCGAGAGATGAAATGCAACCAGAGCTTTGACTTAATGTGGCAGCTCAACCAGATCGATATGTCCATACAGCCGAATCGATCGGAGCTGCTCAAGTTTTGTGACTTTGTCAAGTCCTCCTCCTGCCTCCGCCGATCATTTGTGATATATTGTTTCGGTAGCAGTTTGTTAAACGTGATCAATTTTTAATTACCCATCATCATCATCATCCATCCGAAGGCATCCATCGATCGGTGATCGGTGATCGCTCGATTGTCGTATCAATCGCACCGCACAGAATGTAACTCGGACGTTTGTCGCATGTCACTCAACGATTTATGCCCCGAGTGACTTTAATAAATGTGTCTTTGCCGCTTTTGGCCCCAGTATCTTGGGATCCTTAGTAGTACCTCGGCTCCCTTCTTCGCTGATTGAGGCGACTTCCCTGGCCTCCCTGGCGATGTGGCGCCGCTGCCGGCTGCCCAATCCAGTCACCAGACTCCCTGCTCCTCATTTGGAGCGTGTGTGCGCAAAATGCTTAATTAGTTTTTGTCTAATTAACACTTGCGACACGGCGAAAGCGACTGGTGTCGTGTGCCACCGAAGGCGTGAAGATTAAAAGGTGAACAAGCGTAGACGATCGTAGGACAACGAAAGAAAAAGTTGAACCGGATTTTATCAGTACTTTTGACTTATTTATGCAGAACTGGAAAACAAGATCTACGAAAAATTTTAGAATCCATGATGACATTTACTCAAGAAATTAAAGATTGGTCTTTACTACAGATACGTTTTCATCCATTCTTTCAATTTAGAACATTTGGCAAAAAAGGCTAATTATATAGCCTCTTACGGGCAATGGAACTTACAATACAATTAATTAATTAATCGCGTCAATAAAAACAATTTGTATCCTATTTAAAAGTATGTATTTTATTTCTTATAACATTTGTTCGTAAAATTTAGAGGTCCTTTTAATAACTTTAAAATACCTGCCCTATTCTAATAAACCCTTTCCACACTTAGTTCCATTTTGGCATTCCCTGCTAAGGGCTCGACCGTGGCCGATGGACCAACAACATAATTTCCCTGTCCGCACACGCCCATTGTGCCACCAGAATTCCACAGCGTCCAAGCTCCGAAGGTTCCGAGCCCTTGGGCAGCGCACAAATTAAGGTGAACGCCCACAGCACGCGCCGCAGAAAAAGTAGGGATAGGGAGCCAAGACCCAGAACGGAGATCCGAGGACCTGGGACCTCAGCAGCCAGGCTGGCTGCCTCGGTAACCACTTGAAGTTCTTGGCGCGCGCGTTTATTTATTTTGGTACAGGGCGCAGAGCAACAAATTAAAAAGTAATTCCCAGGCGCAGCATAATTAGCTGCTAAGTGACACTAATGGGGCCGCAGTTGCACTGCCCCAAAAATCCGCCCCACTCCCCGCCCATCTCCGAGTCTCTCCAAAACTTGATGCACTTTTCCCATTTTTCGGCGGGTCGTTGTGTGTGGGCAATGTGAAGTTCCCGAGATGCTGAGTGAGTTTTCGTTGGTTTAGCTAATTGAGTTTTGTTTTTCGGGCCTGCGGTCCACATGGCCACTTGGCTCCCTTGTGGCTGCCAAGTTGAGTTGGCCCAGTAATTGATGGGGCCGCTGAAAGCAAGGTCTTCTCGATGTGGAAATCAGGAAGCTGCTGGATAATCGGGGATGCCTAGTGATAGATGTCAGGCGAGTCAGTTTGTTTCCCCACTTCCCAGGCAGCTACACCTAAGAGGAGATTCGATTAGAAATGGTGAGTGTCTGCCCAAATTTCTTCCTTCCCCTAACTTTTAAACACAATTCCAGCTCCGTCAAGTTAAGTACAAGTTGAGCTCTAGCAGCTCATCGAAAAAGGATCAGAATGAAGCTGACTCGGATCATAGCAATATTAGCCGAAATGAAGTTCCCAAGAAATCAAAAAGTTTCCTCTCCTACGAGGGCTTTTCTGGAAAGTCCCAACGACGCTCTGACCAATCCGAAGAACAGTTTATCAAAAGCCCCGATTCTTCTGGCTACTGTTATTCTCCGAATGCAAAGGGAAACTTATCTTTCAGGACCAGTGAAAATAGTAAGCATTCTAAGAAAGGAAGCCCCTTAGAGGTTGAACTCGAAGATGAACCCAAGGTTACAGAATACATTTCAAGTGATCATGACGAAATACAGTCTCCGACTCAGCCAAGTCAAGAATCCACCGATCGCTCCAAGAGTTTTAGTCAGATTTACAGTGAAATCTTCGAGGAGTCTAAAGAACGACAGCAAAAGGCCGAGCGAGCTTGTCGGGCGTACAACATTAACAAATCTAAGCTCCACAGGAGTCTCGAAGTATCCGGGTCTAGGGGACCGGGAAGTGGAAGCTGTGAAGGTGAGAGTAGCTGGGGATCGGAGTATTCCAGTAACTTGGAGAGGAGATCCCATGAATACGACAATCTATCTACAGGCTATTCAATGAAAAAATCCCTAAACAGCGGGAGGAGCTCTATTAAAGAAATGGAGGAACCAAAAGATCTAGGACTAAAACGTTCCAAATTACATTCCCATAAAAGAGAACTTAGAGGAAGATGCTGTTTTGTAGGAAACCCGGAGCCCAGAAAATCTTCTTTCTATCGGTCGGAAAATGTGGGTTCCGAAGATTCTTTAAAGCATGGACAGGGAATATGCGTATGCGCACGGGGGTCTTCGGTTTGTAGCCTCTGCTCTTCCAGAGCAAGAAAATACCATTCCAAGGGCTACAACCCGGAGGTGACTGATGGATCCGATTACCCTGTAGACTGCAGAAGTGACATTCCAACAACTGCGGTATCACAATCTCGCTCACAAAGAGATTATCTCTCGAGCTGCAGCACACGCCATCGTCATCATCATCATTATCGTCACCAGAAGAGTGTGCCCAAGACGTATCAAGATCGTGGAAATAGTCCCATTAATATCAAGACAAGGCGAAAAACGCACGACACCGGAATTGGCACCGAAAAAGTGAGGGAGACTTTTCTTGGTAGATCAAGTGCCTCGATCGGACTGCAATACCCCAGCGACAATGAGACCGAGGACTGGGATGGCGAAAGACCTAGTAGTTTTCTGGAAACGGAGCTTGGTGACCCAAATAAGTGCGAAAGTCATGAAGAAAGTTGGCTGAGCGATAATGAAGAGCAAGAATTAAAATCCAATATACTTTTAAGTGTGGATAATGAAAGTATAAGGACGCAAGGGGTTTCAAATGTTGAGGACACCGACGGAAACGAACACTATCGTAGTGTTCCCACCGAAGAGGCAGTGCAAAACTTATCCGATATTAGTGAATATATGTCCAATGAGGAACGAAATACCGTTGGTCTCAAAGAGTACTTCGAAGGCATGGAATATGATGATGGGGACAGCCAAGACTCCAACGAATACGATGAAAACGAAAACCTCTCTGATGATTGCGATCATACGGTTACCAGTGAAGAAGGCATTTCTGAAGAAAATAATTCACTTGACCAAGCCGAGAACAAAGTAAGTGTGTTTCACAAGGGTCACAATACTTTTCCAATCAGTTCGCAATCCTATAGGGTTTTATAGAAGGCGATACAATATTGAGCAATAAAGATGGCACAAATACACCTTCAAGTGAAGTAGCTAAATCGAAAAGATTCCTCAGTCTTAGGATATACGATGCTGATGAGGCCTTGATGGAGATTCCGAAGGACTTTGACGGTCCTGCGATAGTGCTGGATGATGATGCCGACTTCTTGGACATCACGCTAACCGATGATGAGGAGCAGATCCGGGCCAAGTTGATGGCAGCAGCGCTGACCACCAGAAAGAGTTCGTCCAGCACCAGTCTGAAGTCCCGTCGGTCCATTAAGCCCTGCGTGCTTAGCTACAAGCCCAGTGTTATCTTCACTCGCCGATCGGAGGCGATCGATGAGCATTATGCTCCCCAGCAGAACGATCGCGTGGCCCTTTTGGCCGAGAGATTTTTGAACAGCTTTAGCGAGTCTTCCTCTAATGAGCCAGTGTGGCAGCCCTTGGCGAAGGAGGTGACCTCTATAGACCCCGTTTCGAAAACTTTCGGGGATAGAGAGGTCACCAAAAAAAACAGCGAGACACCACCTTTGACGGATCGTCAGTTGTTGTCAGAGGAGTTCAACAGAAAGCTGCAACGCCAACTTAAAGTAATTGTGGAGAGTTTTCGATAAAATTGATTGGAGCATATATATATATTTTGTAATTGCTATTGCGAATTACGTTACATCGAATATAACTCAAAGTTTGTTAAAAGCAGCCGACACAAAGCGATGGTAATTTTCACTTCTAAGTATTTTTCACTTTTCCCTTAGTTTAGCAAAAAATAAATTTTGTCCTGAAAGCGATTTCCAAAGTATAATATATCAAATAAAAACACCTCTTAACGAGGTAAAAAACTAGTGACGATCGCACCTTCAACATACAAAAGTTCTGATATCAACATTTGTGACGAAAAATTATTACACTCGTCATTAAATAGACTTTCTAATATTTTCTCATTCGGCCCGCCCTAGCAAACTATTCCAGCCTTTTTCCCTTCACAGGCATTTTCTATTGCAGCGTGCCGAATGAGAAAATATTAGAAAGTCTATTTAATGACGAGTGTAATAATTTTTCGTCACAAATGTTGATATCAGAACTTTTGTATGTTGAAGGTGCGATCGTCACTAGTTTTTTACCTCGTTAAGAGGTGTTTTTATTTGATATCAGAAGTTTTTGTTTGTTAACATTTGCTTTCATAGGAGCTAATATATACATTTAAATTAAAATTGGTCAATCATAATTTGTAAGCCTTTGTATTTAAACAAATTAAGTTAAAAAGGCGTTTAAGTATTTCAAAATACCTTTTAAACGAGGTATAACACATGTCGGTACCTTTAGTAGTGTAGAACTTACAAACTAACAAAATTTAGATATTTTTAGCTTTTTCCCGCTAAAGTAGCGGCTTTTTCCAAAAGTCGTAGAACAAAAGATTCCTATATGGAACTCTTAAGTGCAAATTTACTGATTCCATGACCCTAAAATACAGTTCGGATACCCTCCCACAAAATTCAATACTCAGGGAGCGTTAATTGTTCGAGCTGGCAACAGTGGCTATTTTCGTATAAAAATAACTTTTAAACGTGACTTTTTTACAGTAATGTGTTATATACCAAAACTTAAGGAATCTCAAGGGCTATACAGTTTAAGGTTTTAAAGAAAAATGTTAGAGCCGTTTTTGAGAAAAATAAAAAAAAACTTAAAAAAAAGTTTTAAAAAATTGTCTTTTGTTCATATTTTTTAACTATTACATTTACACAAATTTCATATAGAAGGCGTTTATAGCATTTAAAAATACATTTCAAACGAGCACAAGTCTGTAGCTTTAGTAGTATAGAAGTTACGGCTTTCCGAGTTTTAGCTATTTATAGCTGTTTTCCCGCTAAACTAGCGAGTTTTTCCAAAAGTCGTAGAAGAAAAGTTTTTTATATCGATGTGATGGACGTCATATCAAATTTTCAAAACTTAAAAAACATGTTTTGGACAAACTGACAAACTGACAAACAGAATTAAATTTTCATTTTGGGAAGACGAAGAAAATCTTATTTTGGCTATAACTTTTGAACGGAGCGTCGGATTTTGACAAATGACCCCTCATTCGACGGATATTTTCAAAAGGAATACAACTAAAGCGTTGCGAGGGGGCATTTTTCCCCACCGGCCCCAACAGCTCCAAATTTCGAAATTTTCACTTTTTCACTTTCACCGCTCTCTCTCCCAAGCCAATTGATTTTCTTAGAGTCTTGGTATGCAATCCTGTTAGTTTTCGTAATACCTTTCGATAGGTGTATCATTCATTATGATCGGACCATCACAGTAGATTTTCATTTCTTCGTGTATGAGTAGTCGCCTTCGCACACTCTCCTGGTGCGCTTCGTCACTACATGGACTGCCGTCCATAGTGATCTTAAAGCCAGAAATTTATCTTTTAAACCAATATAAAGATACAAAATCCGCAAAGTAGATTAGTATATTTACTTATTTTAAATATGAGTCATTCACCTCTTATTTATTAGCTTCCAGTAAAAAATTCTTCTGTTGCACTACTTTTTTCCGAGTGGAATAGCTTAGAATCGAGTCTGAGATTGGGTCTGGTTGTGGAAACTACTTGAAACTTTCAGCGGGATGGCATGGCCGCCTGGCAGTCTGCTGGTTCAGTTTTCCTCGGATGGGTTCTGGGTCCTACGCCGAGGTGCATAAATCAACTTTAGTGCTGGCCAAGTGCCTTGCTGAAGGGCGCAGCTCTCGAGTGGTATTCGGGGCTGGAGCAGTTGCCCCTCCCCGGAGTTGGAGCATAATTAGCCCATGGCTACTGTTAGTCTAGTCGTGCACTTGCCACCCCTCCACGCCCCCCTTCCGCCCCTCGGGGTGGCCATTCATTTTCCTGACACATACTAAATATGCTGGAGTTGTTTACATGATCGATCAGGGATCGGGTCCCTAGCTTATGCTCGCCTGCATGCTAGGGATGCACCTAATTGCTAACCAAACACAACTGCAGGCGCGCAAATATTGTTTTAAGGCGCATCAACGTATTTCACCTGCCTAATGCCTGATCCACGTACTAGTGCATCGGTTCGGATCGGATCGGATCGATTGAGTGGGTATATTTTTGGGCACATGTTTCTGTGTTCATTCCCTACTTTTTCTTATAATGAAGTGCGTCTGGATATGTTTATAATTTACGATACTCTGCAGTGCTTATTTGTGGCTGTGGGACTGAAGGTAGGGTTGGGTGTTGTGACGTGTTTTCGATCATCATGACTTGTGGAAAATTCAAGTAGGTTTCATTTCGATTTGCAATCTATTTTTATGCTCATTTGGAATTATTTTTATTATTATTCATTTTTTTAGATTGCCAGAATGGACTAATAATATAAAATTGCATATAAAATTCTGGGAAAGATTACTTACTGTATATCATTTTGAGCTATTCCTCTAAAATAAGGGGAAGGTTGACAATAAAGTTTAAACAAATCCCATCTCGTTATCCTATTCCATACAATTTTGACCAATTTCCCACACGCCCACAAGGACCGATGGGCCCACGTGACTTTTCGTGGTCATCAGGTGAGCGCACACGGCATAATTTAGACAATTTAGACAATTTATTGTGAAAAATGCACTCAATTTATATGACTTGATTATATTTGCCTTCCTTTTTGCGCGTCGCTGTCGAATGGCTGTGTTTGCTTAACTCGCCGCATGCCGCACAGATCCATGACATTGGCTTGGACACGGACATGGCCTAAACAAGCCTGCGACAACAACACCCAGAGGATTGGATGAAGATGACGATGATGGAGAGATGGAGGGGATGGCAGGAATGGCAGGGATGGAAGGCTCGAGGCGCACCCCACGCCAATTTATTAAAGCCAACACCAGGGACAGGGAAAATGTGGCCGAGTGGCACAGGTTCTCCCGGGCAGGCTGGTTACCTCGGCTCACGGGGCCCATAGCTATTCGATATGAAAAATTGCACGAAACTGCAAAGGCGCATATGCAAAATGCATAATTCATTTAACATTTTGTAAATCATTTGTTTGAATAGCACGATGACGGTGATGCGCGCTAGCTCCCATGGCCCTGCCTCCAATCCTCAATCCTCGATCGCCAATCCCTGCCCCTGCCACCACCTGTTCGCCGAGCCGCTCTTGGCCAACAGTTAAGCTATTCGTCTGCCCTGACAAATCGAGAGTTGAGTCGAGCTGGGACTCTGGCAGGCAGCCCGGCTCCAGTCCTCAGCTTCAGTCCAATCCTGCTGCAGCAACACAATGGCCATGACGGTGCGCAAATATAATTTCACAACTGTCTGCACATGCTCCAAACGAAACGAGGCACACCACAAAGGTGAAACTGCATAGGGAGAAATAAGGAAAGAATATTAGCTAGAGCTCTGCTTTAAAAACGAAGTCGGATTTCGTAAGATATTTTAAAGGTATTTCAATTATCAATCCATAGTCTAGGGCTCACAATACCGAACTAAGTTTCTTAAATGCATTCAACAATTCAAAAATTGCGAAAAAATGTAATTTTTGGTAAGCTTGGATTGGTTAATAAAGTTCGAACCTGTGAGTTTTTAGTATTTACTTCCCGTAGATCTCATTAATAGCGCAAATATAAGATAACTGAATATAAGATAATAATATAAGATAACTACTGGCACTGGTAATTGATTTCCTGTTTTTTTTGTATATGACGAGGTAGTTGCAACACAAAAAGGAAGTATCCACGGAATATCGATAGTCAAGTATGTTGGAACTAGTCTTTTTAGAAACAGATATCCAAGTTTTACAGTTGGAACTTACTTGTCATTTATTTAGCCAAATAAAAGTCTTTCAAGATTTTTCCAAACTATACTTCTGTTTCACAAACATTTACCAAACTCATTCTCGCAGTGCAGCAGCGAGACGAAAGCAACAGTGTCCAGAGCATAAAAAGAGCTCAGCCATAAGTCACAACGCCGCAACGACTTTTCAGCTTGGGATAAGCCTTTTTATTATTATTTGTATTTGCCTCATCTTTTTGCCTTTGATTCCTGTGAAATTTGCATGCGTTGGGATTCCGATACCGATTCCACCCCGATCCCGACCGAATCCAAAGCCCGATCCCAATCCTCCAACGAGCTAATTTCGTTTTGTGTGCGAATATTGAAAAATTACAAAACTTTTAATGCGAGTGGGGGAAGGGATTTGGATGGCAAGGGTTCCAGCTGGTCCCTTCCATTGAGATTTCTTGGGAACCCACTTTCTGGCCGGTACTGGCTGTAATTTTAATGATCCTCCACTGACATCGTAACTCAATAAGCCCGGTCAGTCGCGATCGCTCCAGACAGACAGTCTGGGATCTGCTTGGCTTTCCCAGCCAAATAATTTATCATCTTTGGTTGCACTTCGAAAAGTAATTAAGGTTTCTCCCAGCTCGCGTGTGGTCGGCGGCTGGGGAATGCGGCAGTGGATTGGGTGTGTTGCCAGAAAAAACTATTGAAAGTCGAGTGTGGCGTTAAATTTTTGATTAAAAAACTATTAGCCAAGTGTAAAAATTATTGTTAATGTGCTGTGTGGTGCTGGAGGTGCCAATGCGTCTGCGCCGTGTCCAAGCTGTTCCCATATTCTTATTTATCGAAAACGAA